TCCATCCTCCTGATTCCTCTTGTGAATGTCCCCTTTCTGCACTCGGTGCCCTTCCAGGTGACATCGATGATTCTTACTCCAACTTGAGAGTGACAGGATCCTTAAAATATACCATTGTGAGACTCAGGGAGGGGCTGCAGACCTGGCTCTGTCCTTCGTGTTTGGGTCTGGAAAATGGGATGTCCGGGTTGGACATCTGGTGGCAGGGAGTGGTCCCTCTTTGTGTTAAGTTCTCTGAAGAGGTGGAGGCAGTAGGGTGGACTGGGTGGGAGACACTTTGGGATTTAACAGAGAGTTAACTTTGCAGCCAGCTATGATTTGTAGGAGAGCTTAAAGGTGGCAGAGAAAATCCCTTTCTTACATTCAGCAGCCTCTCCTAATCGGCTGCTTCTCCGGGTGGCCCTGCTTGGCTGGCTGCAGATGCATCTCCTCCCCTGCATCTCCAGCTCCCGCTAAGGAGCCAGAGGCCCAGGAGACCTGAGGCATGGTTAGTCTTCCACAGAGAGAGGAGGCTGATCCCAGCGTCCAGAGCCCAGGAGCTTGTAAATCAGACTCTTAGCTTAGTGGCTTGGGCCATTATTCTAAAGCAGTGGGGCTGAAACCAAAAGCCAAATGAAAATATAGTCAATTTGTTCATACTTTAGTGACTGAAAGACTATGTAATGTTGGTAGGGATCGGCCCTGCAGACAGGCAAGGGCTAGTGGGGAGGATGAAGTGTCTGGCCAGACATGGGACTGGGGTGCCCCTTTTCTTTGTGTGTGTGTTGTGTGGTGTAGTTGTGTGTGTGTGTGTGTGTGTGTGTGTGTGTGTGTGATATGTGAGGCATAGGTACATGTGTTTGATGGGCGTGGTGAACATATGTATACAGCTGCTTGGGTGATACCGTTGTCATTTATAGGAATTGTCGCCTCCTCCCAAATATGGGGCTGCTGGCTAAGTGAAGACTGTGTAAGTGGGGATAATACCTCTCCAAACTTCCCCCCACTTGTCTGCGTAGCCATCTTGTGTCAGTTCAATGGTTGGTAATTCCACGGCAGTGGCGGTGGCCAAAGCTATTCTGGCTCATTCACTACCATGTCTTCAGATTCTGAACAAGACCTGGCTGGCATGGAGGTTTTCAAGAAACAAAAACTTGTGGATGGATGGATGGATGGATGGATGGATAAATGAATCGGGAGGAGAGTGAGTGAGTGAGTGAGCAGATGGGTAGGTGAACAAATGAATAGATGCATGAATGAATGAGTGAATGAACGAGCATTCACCTCCCTCCTCAGGGCATGTATTGCCAGCTCACCGTGAGCCAGGAGCTCTGCTTGATTCCACACGCGTGTGTCCTGCCAGAGAACTTCTTTAGCGTATTTTACAGAACAGAATGTGAATCTCAGACAGGCAAAGCCATTTGACAGAGCAAGAGACCACCCCCACGTGACTGCCTGACACTGGAGGCTCTCCCGCACACACAGATACCAAGCCAGGCCGTTCTCACCTCCCTGCCTGTGGTCTCCATCCTCCTCTGCTGTCCCTAGAACACACTGTAGACAGCACAAGAGTCCCCAGGACACTGGGAGCAGAGAGAGTCAGCTCAGTGGCTCTTGCCTTAAGGGTGGGAGGTGATGACTTCATGTCCCACATACAAGAAGTTGAGGAAGACTCCGAGCTATTCTCCTAATTGTTTGCAGTCTTTTACCTCCAAGAATCCTCACTCTGGCTCCCACATGGCTCCTTGGCCAGGAAAGAGAAAACCATGGAGTCAGTCATGAACAGACCTCCCAGGCTTGAGCCTACTCCTTTTTGGATGTGGAAATTGAGGCTCCAAACTTCCAGCCTCTCAACTGGGCCCTCACAGTATGAACATCCTGGCTGGAAGGTTCCAAACCAGCTGCTGGGTAGCCCTCCACCCTGGCACTGCTACCTCCTGCCAATTGCAGGAGACCAGAAACCAGAGACACAGAGACCTGAAAGAAGCTGGGGCCACCAGAGGCCCCGAGTGCTAGGCCCACTGTATGCCCCTGCCTCACCCCGTGGTCCAGAGGTTTTCCCAGCTTCCCTCGTGGCTAGCCAAGAGGGAGCAGAAAGCAGCCCGTCTGACACGGTGACCCAGCCGCGGGGTGGCTGCCCCACCCTGCCTGCTGCTTTTCTGTGTGAAAGGTGTTTAATTATTTCTGACAGAGTTCAGCCTCGACATCTGTTCATAAGCGGGGAGGGTCCATCTAGGTTATCCATCACCGTGACAGGTTCAACTTTTTTGGAAGTGCATTTTCCCATCATAATGGAGACAGGGTGGGGGCATCAGATCAGCAGTGACATGCGACCCAGACAAAGACCCTCCTGGGGCTTCATGCGCCATGAAACGACAGCAGCCTGACCTGGCCCTGGCGGGCTTTCTGAGCACAGACCCTGCGTTGGCAGCGGGGATGTGGCAGTGCTGGGCGAATGTGTGGGTAGGAGGGTTTCATTGTGCCTGTGGGAGGCTTTGAAGATCTTTGGTCATTCTGGGCTGGTTACTCATTCATTCATCCATCCATCCATTCATTCATTCATTCCAAGGATTACTCAGTACCTCTTCTGTGCCAGGCACCCTGCTTAGCTCTGAGGACAAGACTCGGGCCTTGAAGCTTAGTTCTTGTGGACTTATAGGTTATGAAGGAAGATGAAAGTCTGTCTAGTTAATCACCTGACTGCCAAGTTGCTAAGCTCTTCAAAGGGAAGCAGTGAGGCCTGAGGCACCCCTTGGTGATAAGGGGGGATCTGGTGGGGTTGCCACAGAGAAGGAGTCTCAAGAACTCCTGGATTAAGGTAGCTCTGTCCTTAGCATCCACCCTGGTGCACTGGTACCGACAATTGTGTTCATCCAACGCTGTGTGCTGCAGGCTCAGCCAATATTGCTATTGGCCTATGTCCGACAATGACAGCTCTCAGGGGTTTAAGAGTCTCCCCTGGGTGGGCAATGCACCAGAGCAGTCCTGTTTCAAGAACCTGGCATATATGCTATGTTCCAGGGCCTGCGTGATGGGTGACTGGGGCACCAACTTGCGGGATCCCAGGGGTGTCCTTGGAGGACACAGAGGAAAGGGGTGGGGCTCTCCCCTGCCCTTCTGTCTCAACTACTTAGTGTGTTATCAGCATGGGCAATGAAGGCACAAGCCAAGGACGCAGGCTAGCCGCTCCAGGGGGTGTGGAGGTGCCTCGGACCGACTCACCTGCAAGGCACCGTCGAGGTGTTTGTTCTGAGGATAAAATGGCATTATCTATATCACATTAGCTACAAGTGACACCTGCCAGCGGAAAGAGTTGTCACTGCTGGCTCACTGCTCCTCCTAACAGTACCTCAGAAGTCCTAATGAGTAGCAGCGCTCCCCAGACCCCGAGACAAACTCCCTCTCTTGCAAACAGAAACACTGAATTATTTCTACCCTCGAGCTCCTGTCAGGGCTAGCTACTGTGAAATAGAGGCCACCTGGAGGGCATCTTGTGCCCTTGGGACCTGGGGGTCCTGGTGCCCTTCTGGCAATGTCACCCAGACGCCTACATGCACTTGGTCACTGGCATAATAATAATAACAATAAAAAGGCCACAGAGGAGATGAAGCAGAGGAGGGGCCCAGGAGAAGGTTGTGAATAACTGAATGCAAGTAGAGAGATCTGTGTGGGGGCAACGAGAGAGACGGAGACACTGGAGGGAGGTTTTGCTGTTGAGACTCCGAGCTGACAGGTGCTAAGAAGAGGCAGTGTGGCCATGACTCCCGCCACCTCCTGATCAGTGTTCGGTCATGTTCTTTCGGTGACATTTACTGTGAGCTCAGCAGAGGCCTGGGCTGATGGGCAGCAGGGCACATGGTCACTGACATATGTCGATGGAGGCCACTTGGGCAGGACACGAGAGGCCACATCCAGCGGGCCAAAGCAGCTTTCCTGCTGAAGCTCAGCAGCTTGTTCAAGCGCATTAGGCTCAGAAAGGCAGCGGCCCCTTCAATGTCTAACACGCAGTTTCAGGCGGCACAGCCGGGCTGGCTGGCTGGGAATATTGCTTGTGCAGCTGTCTTGATGGGGCCAGGGACATTCGTCATGACCTTCAAGAAAGACTCTGCCTGGGTTAGGGACACGCAGCCTATGCAGCCTCTTGTCCTGAGTCCAACATTTTTAACCCTGCCACGTCCCTCAGCCTGTACAGTGCCACTCCCCCCTCCCCACCGCCCTTGCTGAGCATGTGTCTCTGTCCGGGTGTTACAGAACCACAGGAATGAAAGAACACAAGGTCAGCCTGGCCCCTGTATCGCGAATTATCTTCACTTAGCCCCAACCCCTCCTTTGGGGGGAACCTAAGGTCATTTCCTGCCATCATTCAGGGGGATTAGCAGTGAGGACACACACTTGTTTCCCATCTGGGTACATCTTTCCCTTGTAAGATACATTAGGACCCAGTCACTAGAGTGATGCTTCCACCCAAGACAGCCATCCCATGCTGAGATGACCTGAGATCTCCCATGACTCTGCCTCTTCCCAGCATTCTCCATGTTTCTTGTCTATAAAACAGGTCACTATCAGCAGGTTGCCCATGGGTGCTTATCAAGAGTCTTAGCTGAGGGCTGATGGGGTGGGGAAGCGGAGACAGGAGGATGCTCAGAAGGCATGGACCCGTTAGCCTTCTGCACAACCAACATGAGAATCCACCTGGCTCCAGGTGAGAGCCAAGGAGTGACACGCAGGGTTGTTCTCATCATAGACACCTGCACACACACACACACACACACACACACACACACACACACACACACACTCACACACACATATGCATACTACCCATCCTTTGTCACACACTAAACATACATTAGAAAAATTGAATTTCTGATGAGCTAAGTGGGTTCCAAACCTAGATGGAGGAAAAGTTCAGAGACGTCAGGTGGTACCTGTGTCCTGAGCATCGTTGGTCAGAAGCCCACAAGAGAGCATCAGCTAGCCCCAGCTTTGGTACAGAAGAGGTGAAGGAAAGGGCCACTGACCTTCTGGAAGTGAGGCATGTGCCAGAGAGCATCCAGCTTCACGGGCGGCTTGTACTTCCTCAACTGACTGCTCCGTGTCTCGTACAGCTTCCCCAGGTATACCTGCAGGCCAGAACAGCAGTGGTGAGATGCTCTCCCTGCTACCTGAGACTTTAGTATTGCCATGGAAACAAACCCTCTGAGCATGTCTGTGGAGGAGGGAAGACTCACACTGAACCGTGAGCACTACCATGGCACAGCCTGGGGTCCTGGACCAATGGAAAAAGAGGAAATGAGCTGAGCAAAGACGTCCATCTCTCCCTGCTTCCTGGTTGGTGCAATGCACTTCCATCTTCGTGTGCTCTCCACCACAATAGACACATATTCAACAGTGAGCTGGAAGAAATCCTGCCCTCTTCAAGTTGGCTTTGCCATGCATGTCATAGCAACAATACAACTAACACTCCAGGGCAATGACTAAGGAGCTTGGGAAGTGGCTGGGATTCTTGGATGACAGGCTAGAGGCTCCCTTTCCTCCAGGTTTTGATCTTTCTTCTAGGCCATTTCACAGCCCCATCCCACTAGCCATGCCCCTGTGTACGGTTCATGGTTGCTTTGATTTCAGGTTGACTATAAAACAAATGGGATTTCCATGAGCAGCTAGGAGAGAGTTTCTCTTAAACACCTTCTAGCCCTAAAACTAACTTACACAGAGCCCTCATATCTGTGTGAAGAAATATATGACTCAACAGGGTGTCACTGTCCCATGGAGCAGGTCCATATGATGGCCGGCCCAGGAGGAGGGAGGGGGTAAGTGTCATGAGCTCCTCTTGCAAAGGTGGGAGAAGCCCATCCCTTCTGAGCCCTGATTCTATGCCCACAAAGAGGGACAAGCAGATCCATAGCCTGTCATGCAGTTCATGGTGTCTGTCCAGAACTGAGCTGTGTCCATTCCAAACTCACATGGTGCACTCTTAACCCTTGTGTGACTGTGTGTAGACAAAGCCCATGAGAGGCAATTAAGGTTAAATGGAGTCAAGGGTGGGTTTCAATCAAGCACAACTAGAGCCCTTAGAACAAGAACTTTTTTTGTTTTGTTTTGTTTGAAACATGGTTTCTCTGTGTATCTCTAGTTGTCCTGGGACTCTGGAACTCATTCTCTAGACCAGGCTGGCCTCGAATTCACAGAGATCACTTGCCTCTGCCTCCCAAGTGCTGGGATTAAAGATGTGCACCACCACAACTTGCCTTTTGTTTTGGTTTTTCAAGGCAGGGTTTCTCTGTGCAGCTCTGGCTCGCCTCAGACTCACTCTGTAGACCAGGCTGGCCTGGAATTCACAGAGATCCCCCTGCCTCTGCCTCCCAAGAGCTGGGATTAAAGGTGTGTGCCACCATCACCCAGGCGTTAACTAGAGCCCTTAGAACAAGGACATGGAGGGGAGGGTGCTGGAGAAATGGCTCAGCAGTTAAGAGCATTGGCTGCTCTTCCAGAGGACCTGAGTTCAATTCCCAGCAACCATATGCTGGCTCACAACCATCTATAATAGGATCTAATGGCCTCTTCTGGCATGCAGAGCACTCATACATAAATAAATTTTAAAAAAGTAAAAAAAAAAAAGAACAAGGATGTGGGCGATACATGTTCTACCTCCAGTATGTCAGGACACAGTGGAAGGTGGCCTCAGCAGAAGATCTGCCTACGTGTGAATCCTACACGTTTCTATAAATGTTGTGGCACCATTTGTGGCATATGAGCCCATGTTGTAAAATGGACTTCTCCCTGTTCCTAGAACTTTCCCAACTGTGTTAGCCCAAGACTGTAGAACCCTAGGGCATGGCTTAAAGTGACTTAGGCGGAAGCAAGCATCTGTGACAACCAGAGAACTGGAGGAAGGGAAACAGACTTTGTCTTCACAAATTCATATGGTCGAGCTGTAGCGCTAACGTGATATGTCTACAAGCAACTACCAGGCCGTAGGCTGGATATCCACTCTACCTGCTAGAACAAGGTTGAGACTTTAAGTCAAGGCAGGGAGGCTGTGCAGTCAGGTGGCCAGGCTGGGCTTAGAATGCACCACGACCTCCACCAAAGCCCATGTAAAGATAGAAGAAAACACCTTGGAAAAATAAAATGGAACTTAAACTTAAAAAAAAAAGAAAAGAAAAGAATGCAGCAGACAGCCCCATGGTCTTACCAACGCTCCATTTCCCTAACTGGAAAAGGTGTGCCAAGGCACGGTTCATGTAGGAGCTGCTCATGGGTGCTGAGGGCAGAGTATCTAGCCCAAGGTTCACTAGATGGCAGTTGTCACCAAGAACTTCACTGGGGGTCATTGCTGTCTAGGATTCAGGGTCCGCTCGGCAGCATGCTGGCTTATGGCAGAGCCAGGCTTCTTCTGGGTTGTGGGCAGTTTGACCTTGAAAACTGACCAAACCTGGCAGCTTCACAGGCATATGCAAGGCAACACAATTCCTACAAAGTCTTGGAGCAGGATGCTGGGGAGTTCAGTGGGTAAAGTGCTTGCCAGGCAAGTGTGAGGACCTGAGTTCAGATCCCTGGTCCTCACATAAAAAGCTAGGTGTGGTGGTATGTGTCCTCGTCTCTGGGGAAGTGCAGATAGGCAGATGGTGGGGCTTGCTGGGCAGAGAGTTTAGAAGAACCAGGGAGTTCCAGGTTTAGTCAGAGACTGTCTCAAGGTGAGACCAATTGAGGAAGACAGTGTTAACATCTGGCCTCTACATGTATGTCTGTACACACACACAATGAACGAGAAGAGAATTCCGAGGCTGCCTTGCCAGTTTCTGGGTGCCTGCTGTCTGCTAGCGCATACGACTCAGACATCCCCAGCGAGTTCCTCCAGCGCTTTATTCTGGAGGTAGGACTCGCATCCCAGGAAGGAGGCTTGCCCTTCTGCTGCAAGCCACTGAGACCTCTGAAGATCTGCTTTCCTACGGGAGGAAGGGACCACATTGTCTCTGAAAATGCAGAGCACAGAGGAGAATGCGAACACATGTACCTAGCAGAGTCACCATCTAATATTCTGCTGACTTCACTTTCCCAGGGGAACCCACCACCTCCTCAGACCCAATGAGAAAATGTTTCTCTGGGCCTTCTTTGCAATGATTCTTGAGTCAGGGAGTTTTTAATCCATATGCTTTTTTCCTGTTCATTTAAAAAATTTTAAATATTTTATTATATGTGTATATATATGTATACACACACACACACACACACATATATATAAAATTGGGGGCATGTATACATATGTACAGCTGCCTGCAAATGCCAGAGGTGCTTGATTCCTTTGGAGCTGGAGTAGCACGTCACTGTAAGCCATCAGACATGGGGTCTGGAAACTGAACTCAGGTCCTCTGGAAAAGCAGTATTTTTTCTTAGCCCCTGAGTCATTTCTCCAGACCCCCTGTTCATCTCTTTTATCACACAAGCCCCAGCTATGAACCCAGGATGGATGGAAGGGAAGATATTTTCCTCCCTGAGGCTGGTTCAGCAGGGGTGTGCTTTAGCGGGAGGGGCAGAGGGGCTAGGCCATGGTTACCAGCTGCTGATTAAAATGTAACACTCCCCTGGGGAGCTCGGAAGCAGCTTGGGGCAGCAATGCTCCCTCTGAAACTGCACTATCACACAGCGGGTTGACTCTTGAGGTATTAACAGACTGACCACGGGCCGCTTTAAAAACATTTCAGTGCTGGGCTTTCTGGTGAGCACCAGGCCACTGGGGGACACCCATCCTAAGACTACAAGATCCCTTCCTGGAAAGGCTCCCCTGAACCCCAGTAGGGTCATAGAACCATTTTGCTAATCTGGTGTTCAAGAAGTCAGCAAACAAGGGCCCCAACTTCAAGACGAGCCTGCACTTTGGCAGACACATCTGGCCAGAGCTGCTGGAGAGTCATTTCCTCTCTCTCTCTTCTCCTCACGTGTGTGCATGTGTGGGGGTGCCCATCCATACCTGTGGATGTCAGAGGCTGTTGTCTGGAGTCTTCTTCAATCTCTCTTCACCTTATATTTTTGAGAGAGTTTTTCACTGGACCTAGAGCTTCCCAATTAAAGTCCAGGGATTCTGGTCATCCCCAAACCTGTCAGCACTGGGTACCCGGCTTTTAACGTGGGTGCTGGGAATCCAAACTCAGGTCCTGATGCTTTCCTGGCAAGGACTGGACCAACTGAGCCGTCATCTCCCCAGCCTCTGCTGAGTAATTTCTCAGAACCTCAGTGTGTCCGTGAAACAAACTAAGATCCTAGAGTGAGATGCCAACATGCTGGAGTTCTCAGACCCGAGTACAGGATGTGGGGCACTTGCCGGCCCTCCAAGAAGAGAGCAAGGCTCGGTGCTGCAGGCTGCCATCGTTGCGGCATCTGAGATCTGCATGTTTTGTTTGTTCTGCTCTCAGGCAGGCTCTCTCCCACTGCCCAGGCTGGCCTCAGACTTGCTGTGACAGGCGAGGCTGGCCTTGAACTCCTGATGCTTCTGCCTCCACCACCCAGGCGCTGGCACGAAGGGCATGTGACACCATACCTGCCTGGTGCTCTCCTTCCAGGGAAATCTAAAAAGCGCAGACTGACTTGGCAGGCACAGGTTTGGATCAGCTGAGGAGGCACCGTGAACTCCCCCCAAGGCTGAAGTTTGGACTATTTTAAAGGCAGAGAGCCTTCGGGTGCCTTTAAATGTGTGAGGCAGAATAAAGAAAAGCAGGGAGTGTTTTCTGGTTAAAAAAAAAAAAGTCACCACAGAGACTTCCTGTCTGTTGCTAATAACTCATATCTATAGCAGTATATTATTTGTATTTTAATAAATCTTGCCTGAAACCAGAAAAGCAAAGCAGCTAAGCCACTACCAAGCTGGGCGACCGTAGAGTAAGCAGACTAAGCCTCTCTCTCCTCCCGTTTTATATTCCCTCTAGTGCTGGGATTAAGGGCGCATGAGTCCCTAGGACTGGGATTAAAGGTGTGAGCCACCACCACCGGGATTTGTTTCTGCATTGATCTTGTATAGCCCAGACTGGCCTTGAACTCACAGAGATCCATCTGCGTCTGTCTCCCAGATCCTGGGATTAAAGGTGTGTGTCACTATTGCCTGACCTCTAGTAACTTTAGCTTTGCCTCTGGTCTTCAGTACAGTAGCAACTGGGGGAGTTTGGGTGCAATAGGGACCCTGGATCCCACTGCTCTGAGCTACCCTGGCTTCTCCACACAGCTTTCCCTGCCTAGAATGTAGGATAAGGATGCCTCCTGGGCATCCTTTCCTCCTGTTGAAGAAAACATGCTCCTTAACACACTCATGTAGAAATGGTTTTCTGCCCTGTCATACCAGCCAGTGTGGGGCTCACGTCTAGGCTGGTGGAATTGGAGCCTAGTTTCCTCTGTAGTAAGTCAGACGGGTTTAGAGAAAGATCTCCATGTAAAAGTCACTGTGACTTGGTCCTAATCGCAGCTGGGAGGTGACAGGGCCTGCCGACTGGTGTCCGGCCATCTCTTTCACATCCAGAATTAGGTCCAAGCAGGAGCAGACCATCACTGAGATGGGTTCAGATCTGAATTTCACTGCAGCAGGATGTGACTGGATCCCAGGCTCCTGCCCCACCCACATCCACTGATGCTGACTCAGCTTCCCTCCGCCCCCCAGGCCAGCTTCAGCCCCTCAGAAGTGAAGGCAGGGCTACCTTCTGTTTCTTCTCCAGTTTGATGGCTTGCTGAGTGGCCTTCTGCTCCTGTACCCAGAGCTGCTGGTACCGATGTTGTAACAGGTCAAAGAAGGGTGTGGATGTCCTGTGGGAGGAAGGTTACATAGAGCATGAGGCCTGGGGATGACCAGGACACCCACATACAGAACAGATACTGTTAGGGCTGCAGACCCTCAGACCCTGAACTTTCTGTGACCTCTTGCCTGACGAAGTAATCAACTTGTTTTCCTATGCTTGCAGCTGCTCTGAGCACGAAAACCTCATAAGTTCCTGATAACAAGAAAGTAGTTTCTGGTGGGCTTGCAGTGGAAAATCCAGAGAGCTAGGGCATGGCCATTAGTCAAGGAGAGCCCCACATAAGCTGCCCTGGAACACAATAAAACTGGCATTCTTGTTTCAAGAGTAACCCATGTCTCTGTGTGTTTTAATCCCCAGACCCCTGCCCGATATGGTTCCAGGTGGTGCAGGTGCTGCAAGACACCTCTCTCTCCATGGGGCACAAGGCCCCACCATCACCAACTGCAGATCACATCACCCTTCCCAAGGCCAGAAAAGGCTTTCTGTAGCACCCAGGAACCCCAAAGATACAGATCCCATGCTCTGCAAATATGGGGAGCCTCCATGTGTTACCTGCATGGGACAAAGATTCTGGCCTTGGGCTGATGTTGGTTAGGGTTCATAGGCTCATAGGTTCCCTGGACCCTTTCTGCTATGCCTCGCCCACCCTGGGATCTGCCCTCAGTCTGCTGAGGCTAGTCTTGCAGAAAACCCCTGCCAAGCAGGTGGTCTAGCCTCAGTGCCCGACTTCCCTGGGGAATGCTCAGGATCCTCATTCCTGGCTTTGTTGTCTGATTTTTCTGATCCATCTCAGCAAGGATGCTGCCAAGGTGAATGGCAATACATTCCCCATTCTTGGGGTCTCTTCTCACTCAAATTCTATCCCTGTGCTGGAGACTTTGGCTCCACATTCATCAGTCCCGCTGGCCTGGTGAAAGCAACCTCAGCTTTGCACTAAGACCCATCACTTTTGGAAACAGGACTAGATGGTTTCACTGCTTGCAGCTTGGAACACTGATGGTGTGGGACAATGGTCTGTATTCTGTCAGTTATATTTTAAATAAATGCTGATTGGCCAGTAGCCAGGCAGGAAGTATAGGCAGGACAACCAGACAGGAAGTAGAGGTGAGTCAATGAGAACAGGAGGATTCTGGGAAGAGGAAAGCTTGCTCGACAGTCGTGACCCAGCCACAGAAGAAGCAAGATGTGACTGCCTTGCCAAATAAGGTACCGAGCCACGTGGCTAACATAGACAAGAATAATGGGCCAATAAAAGTTATAAGAGTTAATAAGAAGTCTGAGCTAATGGGCCAATCAGTTTATAACTAATGTAGACCTCTGTGTGATGTCTTTGGGATTTAATGACTGTGGAAACTGGGCAGGACAGAAACCTCAGACAACACACTGAGCCAGTATTGAGTGCTCTGCAGGTGCCGTCTGCAGGTACCATCTTTTGTCATCTCAGCGGCAAAGAGGAGAGGCTGGTCCCAGAGCAGTGTGGGGTAGCACTCCAAGTGAGGTCAGCTGAGCCACACACAAGGCTCAAAGTTAAGTCCTTCCAGAGGGTGTGGGGAACCAATCCCAGATTGGGGCTGCGCTCTAAACAGCTTTCAAGATAGAGCATGCAATCTCTGGAAATAGCCAATGTGGTGCTGTGCACTGGTGATCCTAGCATTGTGGGGTGGGGGAAAGGGAGACCAGTAGGTCCCTGGGGCTCCCTGGTCAGATAGCCTAGTCTGCTTGACCAGCACTAGGTCAGTGAGAGACCCTGGTCTCAGAAAAACCAAGGTAGACCTCTGAGGAAGGACACCCACAGTGGACCTCTGACCTCCACATGCTTGTACACACATGCACACCTCCCCACATGCAAACAGGACAGCCGATGCTTCAAAACCACTTTTTAGGTTGCTGTGAAACTGTGCAAGTTCTGCCCACACAGGCCCGCATTCCCAGTTGGTGTAATTGGCTGGCACTGAGTCCCAGCTGCCAAGCCCCAGTTCTCAGTCTCTCCCGCTGCCCTGGCACTGGTGAGCTGCGATCCTTGACGGGCCGCTTCAATGACAGGGTGGCCACAGAGACCACCGGATAGTTAGCCTGGACCCTAAGTATCCACCCACTTCCCCAGCCTACTGCACCCCATCATGAGGGCACCAGAGGACCTGGGAAGCTGGCTAAGCTGCGTTCTGTTGAAGAAGCGGCCCAAGGCTTTGATTCGCATAGGCAGACCGCGGCTCTTTGTTCCTGCCTCCTGTACCCCTGTGGTGACTTTTATTACTTAATTATTACACGCCCCACGCCTCTGAGCGGCCTAATTTATGACTGTGCTTTCTAACGACACCGTGTGCGTAATCTGGAAATATCTACCCCAAGAGGCTGCTCCCAGCGAACAGCCCCACCGTATCCATCACTTCCTACCAGCTCTTCAGCCCTCCCCCAGCCTGGCTGACCGATTCAGCGTCCTGCTCTGGCCAGCCCTGGGTAGAGGCGGTGGGGGTTGAGCCAAGGGGAATCTGTGAGGCCGTGAGTTATGGCAGGCAGCCCTGGCCTAGGTCATCCATGGCCACCCACAAGCTGGCTAGTTTCCGTTCTGGCTCATTAACGTGGATAAACAGGTGCAGAGGCTGGCCTGGTGTGGAGAAAACTCAGGCCATAAATTGGATGTTATCGCTTCTGCGTGGTCCCCGGTTTCCGAGCTAAGCCTGGACTTGCAGCCGTGGTCCACTAGGCTCAGCTCCCTCTTCAGCTGCTGGCATCTACCCTGCACTTCTCTAGACTTCCAGCCCTCCTGGCTGGAGTTCTTCTTCTTGCCAGGACACGCAGGTACATGAGCACCCCCATATCGTCTCTCCTTTGCATGTAGGCCTCAATCGTGGGGTTACCTCTACTAAGGGCTGGTTCCCAGCTACTCTGCCCTAAACAGCCCTGGCTAGGAGTCCTTCCACCTGAGCATAAGCCGGCTTATCTCTCTTCTGGCCCCGGTGGACTTCAACCACTGAGTGTCAGCCAGCCCCAGATGGCAGCAACAATTCTGTGCCTGCCGTGAGCTGACAAGACTCCACCCTGGATAGATATGTGGGGGGTAGCTCTATTGGTAATAATGACCCGAGTTAAATCCCAGCTCTAAGGAGGTGGAGACAGGTTTGAGGCTGATGGCCGCCAGCCTAGCTGAATCAGCAAGTTCCAGGTAACTTGAGAGACCCTATCTCAGAAAATGTGGTGGACAGCACCAGAGGGTGACAACTGAGGTTAACACACACACATATGCACACATGTACCTGCACGGACACACACACACACACACACACAATGTGGGGGCAGGAATACTGGAAGGCGGATGGAAAAAGAAATCTTAGGCAAATTTTCGACAGATACACTTTCCTTAGTTTGCTCGGTACAAACAGGCAACGTGTGTGTCACGGTCAGTTACCAGATTAAACTGGTGGAATTGACCTTCAGGAAGGATGCCAGCCTTCTCACGGGTGAACTGGTGCCAGACACTGAGCATCTTAGACAGAACAACTACCAAGCAAGCCCAAATTCCTCCACTTAAGTCCCACACATCAAAAGAGAAAGCGCTAGGTGGCGCATGCCTTTAATCCCAGCACTCAGGAGGCAGAGGCAGGTGATCGCTGTGAGTTTGAAGTAAGCCTGGTCTATAAGAGCTAGCTCCAGGACAGGCTCCAAAGCTACGGAGAAACCCTGTCTTGAAAAAAAAAAAAAAAAAAAAAAGAGAGAGAGAGAGAGAGAGAGAGAGCTCAAGTGGAGCTCAGTTTAAATATAAAACAGACGCTGTCGAGTGCACAGGAGAAAACCTTTGTGATTTAGAGCTAGGTAAGGACTATTGATTCGTTTAGGATTTTCAGATGGAGTCTCATGTACGCAGACTTTCCTCAAACACATCCTATAGCTGGGGATGACTTTGATTTCTGGTCCTCTGGCCTCCATCTCTTAGGTAGTGGGCATGCCTGTAAAGGAATGAGGCGCCATGGGTTTGTGCAGAGCTGGGGCATCAAACTAGAACGTTCTGCCTGCTAGGCAAGCTCCACCCATGGAGGCCCGTGCTCTGCACCCCCACCCCTGGTTCGTGACCTTTCTAGGAGGCCTTGTTAGGAACCAGTTACTCCATTTCCTTCCACAGGCATCATTGTTGCTATGTTACAGTTCACTTGTTTCTTTGCTTGTTTTGTGTGGGGGAGTTTTGTTTTGTTTTGTTTTTTTGTAAGTTCAGCTTTTTATTGTAGAGCTTTCTAACTGCAACATGAATGATTTTGCCACAGGCCGAGGCCCCTGTGGTAACAATTACAGCTGCCCTTCCTGTGCACCTCTCTTTTGAGGAGCCAGAGGGGTTCACACAGAAAAGCTTAATTATTTATCCTCACTAAATGTGCACAGGAAAGGGTGGTACCGGGGCAGCTGACGTCCAGAGAGGTCAAACAGCTTGCCCAGGGTCACACAGCACAGACAAACAGCGAAGCTTGAACTCCCAGCCCTCCAGCTACAGACGCCACAGCCCAGCAAATGCCAATCAGCATTCACCAAGGGCAGTAGTTAAGGGTGAACGAGCCTGGCCAGCCAGTTACACCTGGAGGCCAGGTGCAGGGAGTCGGGCTCCTTTCACAGAACACCCCAGACTTTCACAGCGTTGTTTCTATGTCTCCTGGTCCCCCCGCCCACCCCACCCAGGAGCTGAGGTTTTAGGGGAGATTCCCAAGTGTCCCCAGCTGACACCTGTGGCTTCCTGCTGTCCTCAGTATGCATGGCTCCATTTCTAAGGCGCCTCTGGCCACCTCTCAGCTGACCTCTGTCTTCCTAATCCCCAATGACTCCCTGAATGTCCTCTGCTTCCTCCTCCTAGGAGTCTTCTTGCCCTTGTCTGGCACCCCTAGCCCCCAGGCTGTCACCACGGCCTGTCCTCTGCACAGGGTGGGTCGACACCACTCCCAATGGTGAGGAACAGTGTCTGCCTTTTCCACCCTGTTCTAAGCAGCTTTCCCAGGTCATTCTCTGCAAATCTCCAGGCTGGGAGCT